CTTTATCATTAAATTATAAATAGCACTATTTTAAAATACTAGTTACTAGATAAATTTAAAATATTAAACAAGGTGATTTGAATTTTTTTATCATACTTTTGTAATAGGTTCAATTACGTAGTCTTATCATTATTTGCATACATTTGAGATATAGTGTTAGTTAATTCTCCTATAAGCATAATATGTATTCAATATTTATATCTGAACCGGCGTTAATATTTTTATGCTGATGTCTATTAATTTCAATCTATTGTAATTAGATATTATCAGATTACTTTACTTATTTAACGGAAACATATTAATTCCTGTTCATATATTAAAATTCTAAATCTAAAATGAACGCAAATTTATAGACCATTATCTAGAATACACATTGCTTTGCAATATCATATTTGGAAAAATGAAACGTATGCAATAAAATATTTTTTTTACTACAAAGTAAATAAGTCATTTATTGCAATATTTTTTTATATATATTTATTATGTTCCAAAATTAAAGATCTAAAGTTTTGTTATGATCAAGAAAGTAAAATTTGTATTGTTCAACAATATTAATAGTTAATAAAAAAAAGTTTCAAATATCGTAACTACGTTTTGTTATGATGATATAGTTAGGGCTTATACTGGTTAGAGTTTTGGCCTTGCAACCAGAGGATTCCTGCCAGGTTCGTTGGCCAGTTCGGACAGCCTGATATCAAGGTTTTCACTTGAAAATATAGATGTATATACATTGCTGCATCTTATTAAAAAATCTATGTATTAGAAAAATTTTAATATCTAGTTTATTTCCCAATCTTTGTGATGATGTAGAAATATCATCAAAACAGCGATAAGTTCATGTCATTATGATTGGACCCATGAGTTATGATTGTTGTTCGAACACGAAAGGAAAAAAATGATTTAGTTATACGTTTTCCTATAAAAGAAATATGTGAGACTTGTATAAATGGTTCTATATTATAAAGAAACTAATCTCTAACACGATTTGAACGGCGTCTTAATTTTTGTAGAACGTTTACTTTATTTTTATTAAATTTGTCCGGATTCGTGTACGGTATTGTAAAGAAGTAATGATGAGTAATACTCAAATGGATTTATCTCTTAAAATTTATCACAGCTATTAAGTTGATAAAGTTAGTCATAGATAGAGCCGTAATAAATATAGCATAATTATTTATTTAAATAATTGCATTGCAAGAAACAAAAATACAATTTAAGGTACGATTCGCAAAAAATCGAAAATGAAATTTTTTATACATTTTTACGTTTGAAAGGTTTCTGAACATTTTGCATACTTTAGAAAAAATGGATGTATGTGTGTGTGTGCGTGTTCGGATACAAACTTTCGTCGAAGATTTTGTGAACACAGTTCAACCGATTTGAATAATTTAGAAAGCATTCGACTTGTATTGACGGGGAGACGTACTGATTTGTTTTTGGCAAAGGAAGGTCCAGCCGTTTCGAAGATACAGGACAAAAGAGCCAAAAACGGTTATTCAGTTTTTGAGATAACGAAGCGTCCGATTTGAATGAATCAAAGAACATTTTATTTGTATTAAGAAAAAGAAAAACTGATTAAATTTTTGGGAAGGCATGCCTAGCGGCTTTGGCGGTCAAAAATGATCATTAGACGTATGCACATCAAATTACCAGATATTTTATAAATATTTTGATAAAAACAAATTTTGTTTACACTTCTATGGGTTCCGTACCAATGCTTATCCATTAAACTGCGACGCGACGCTCTCGCGCTTCGATATTTCGTCTTTACGCTGCTAACGCGATTATTTTTAAAAAAGTTCAAAATATACAAAATATTTCAAAACCTAAAAAAAATTCAAATTTCTCATAAAGGTCAAGTTTTTTCAAAAATTTAAGAAAGCTCGAAGGTCAATTTTTTTCAGTTAAAAAAAAAGAATCTTCAAAAAGAAATTTTAATTTTTGGTACGGAAAGTTCAAGTAATTTGCTATGCACCACTAGTTCCATCATCTTTTTGTTTCGTTCTTGTAGATAAAGATAAATAAAGTTCATGGCCCAAATATAATCACTTATATTATATTAGATTTTTAAATGCGACTATGCAATTTACATTATTTATAATACTTATTTTGGAACAATTGTTATTACTCATAGATGACTTTTTATTGATGATTGGTTATTTTTATTTCGTAAACGTTTAATTGCTATCGCGAAGTCCCACCAATTTTACTTAAGGCACAATGCTATGCACCACTAGTTTTTTAACTCATTTATAAACTTCCCGTAGGGTAAGTTATAGTAATCGTAAAAAATCGAAAATGAAAATTTTTGCATACCTTTTCGTTTCAAAGGTTTCTGAACAGTTTGGCATACCTTAGAAAAAAATGGATGTATGTGTTTGTATGTTTGGATACAATTTTTCGTTTACGATTCCGGATGCATGGATCAACCAATTTAAATGATTCAAAAAACATTCCATTCCTATTGATGGGAAGATGTGCTGATTACTTTTTGGTAAAGACAGGTACAGCCGTTTTGAAGATACGAGGCCAAAAGTGCCAAAAGTGGTAATTCAGTTTGTCAGGTAGCGGAGCGCCCGATTTGAATGATTCAAAAAACATTTTTGAAAATATACAAATTTTATACTCTAAATATAAATATATCCTCAGATGGATTCATACGGCATCTCTTCTTAATGCAAACATTTTTAAATGTTTTGAGCGATAAGATCGCCACTGTATATTAGTTATATGAACGAATAAATATATAGGAATTATAATTATCTCTCTGAAAATATTTAAAACAATTGTTATTAATCATTGATCAATATTTATTGATTATTAATTAACTTCCGAAAATGAAAATGAAAATTCTTATATATCTTTACGTTTCAAAGGTTTTTGAATATTTTGGCATACTTTACACAATGTCTATGTGTGTGTGTGGATACAAATTTTCGTCGACGATTTCGGGAACACCGATCAACCGACTTGAATAATTCAAAAAACATTCGATTTGTATTGATAAGGAGATGTACTGATTAGTTTTTGGCGAAGGCTGGTCTAGCCGTTCCAAAGATACGGGGTAAAAAGTGCCAAAAACGGTGACTCAGTTTTTTAAGAGAACGGAGCGACCGATTTTAATAATTCAAAAAACATTTTACTTGTATTGACAATATGAAAAACTGATTAAATATATGGGAATGCAGGTCCAGCGGTTATGGGCTCTCAATAAAAATAAGTTAAAAATATGTCATTTGGCGGTCAAAAATGTTTATTGTACATATGTACATCAAATTATCAGATATTTTATAGAGATTTTAATAATGTGTACATATTTTGTGTAAATTTTTTTGGGCTTCGTACCAAGATAATTACCGTAGGGGAAGTTCCAGCAATTTGCCTTAAGGCACGATGCCATGCACCCCACTAGTTTTTAACTTCCCGAGAAGTTTATGTTTTCATAAAAAATTCCGATTCGCTAATTTTATGTTTTCTCGACGTTTCAAGCCATTCTGAATCGAATGAGACCAAATTTGAAAAAAGTATGTGTGTGTGTATGTGTATGTGAACAGATTTTTTGCCGTAAATCCACGTTTTCTCAAAAACGGCTGGATCGATTTCAAAAACTTAAAAGCCATTTGATGTATCTCGATGAGGACTAGCGTTTCTAAGTTTTGTGCGACGATTGGCCGAGCCGTTTCTTTGCAAATCGCAGAAAAGTGAAAAAAATTTCGTCCACGTTTTAGCCCGCAATTCTGAATTGATTATGAAAATTCAAAAACCGTTCGAAAGATATTTGTTGGGAATCGTGCTGATTAGTTTTTGGTTGAGATCGGCCGGGCCGTTTTCTTGTAATAAACTGTTAAAAAAATTTTTTTCGATGATTTTTATTATTATTTTTTGAGGGTAGATACCATAGTCTTCTAGATCATACTGAAATATTACGGCCCTATGACAACTCGTTTAACTTTAAAAATTTGTCAAAGTTTGCAAAAATTGGTTTTGTTTTTTGGCATTTGTCAAAATTAGACCTTTGATCGACGTTTTCTCAAAAACGCCTGAACCGATTTCAGAAATTTAAAAGCGATTTGCTGTATCTCAATAAGGACTATCGCTTGTCAGTTTTGTTAGACGATCTGCCCAGCCGTTTCTTTGTAATTTGAAAAAAGTGTTAAACTTTTCGTCCACATTTAACCTCAAACTAACCGAACCGATTTTGAAAAATCAAAAACTGTTCGAAAGATATTAGTTGGGTATGATACTGATTAGGTTTATGTAAAAATCTACCGAGCCCATTTCTTGTAATTAACTGTTGAAAAAAACATTGTATCTGATTTTTATGGAACTTTTTTGGCGATATATATCATGGTCTTATAGAACTTACTGAAATATTGCGGTCTTACGATAAGTAATTTAATTTTAAAAATTCATCAAAGTTTGAGAAAATGAGTAGTTTTTTTGAAGTTTGTTAAAATTTACATTAGACGATTTACTTGGTATAACGATAGAGTACTTGAACTTAATAAACATACTAAAGCATTAAAGTTCTACGGAAACTGGTTCAATTATAAAAATTGTTGATTTTTGAAAATTTGCTTTTAGAAAATATTCCGAGTTAACGAGTTTGTTCGTTTTCAATTATGTGTTATAAATCCACTCGGAATACTTTTAATCACTCATATATTTTTTTTATTGATCAAGTCAATTATTTACACATGTCGGGAAGTTCATGTAACTTTGCTCAAGGCAAAATACCAATACCAACTAGTTATTTTATTTGCTGTACGGGAAGTTCCAGCAATTCGCTTTAAGACATGATGCCATGCACCACTAGCATTTTCCCTCAGAGCCCCTACTAATATTGTACAAAGCCGGAATATGAATAAACTAAAATTTCTCGCTGGTGTCCCCCACCTTGAATTTCGACGCTTGCGCACGTATCGACCGACTCGAGTAGTTTGGTCCGCTTGCAATCATATGTTCGGTTGTTGACAGTAGCCATGCGAAAGGTGTCCCGAATACAACATAATATCATTTTTATTAATTCTTAAAATATCTCCAGGATTTAACATTTTATCAATATGTTTCATGATGGTTTGAAAACAACCTGATACGCAGCTGTCGATATGATGTTTATATCTATGCTATAAATTGCTTGTTTTAGGCTAATTTTGTTTCTGTTTATTTGTATGTAAATATAGAAACACGTGTTGTGGTTGTTAATAGTGTTCGTAACTTTTTTGTGTTTATATGTAGCAGTATCAATATGGATAACAGGTAAAAATTTATTTTTGTTGTAAAATGTCATATATATATTTAATACCAATAGCTTTTGCAATATTATATATATATATATATATATATATATATATATATATAGCTACTTACAATATTACTAATTTTTATACCATATAATTTTTTTTAACATCCCATGGGGCCAGTTATAATAATCGTTCAATAATTTATTTTTCTGCATATCTTTACGTTTCAGAAGTTTCTGAACAGTTTGGTTATCTTCAATAAATGGATGTATATATGTGTGTGTGCGTATGTTTGGATACAATTTTTCGTCCACGATATCGGGAGCACGGATCAACCGATTTGAATGATTAAAAAAACATTCGATTCCTATTGACGAGAAGATGTGCTGATTAGATATGGAGTAAAAAGCGCAGAAATTGGAAATTGTTTATTGCGAGAACGGTGCATCTGATGAGAATGCTTAGAAACATTTGATTCGTATTGACGGGTAGATGTGCCGATTAGTTTTTAGGAAAGGCGGGTCTAGCCGTTTTGGAGATATGGAACAAAAAGAGCAAAAATACCAGTTATTGAGAGAATGGATTATCTGATTAGAATGATACAAAAAAATTTTTGCTTACGTTGATAGTGTGAATGAATGATTAATTTGTGGGCAAGAAATTTTTTTTTTATTTCAAAAATTAAAAGAAAAATTAATTTTGAAAAAATATTTTATTTAATATCGGATTTTAATTTTAATTCTAGTCAAAATTCTGAAGCTCACTTATATACTTGAAATACATAATTTTAACTTTGCAATTCAGTTTTTGTAATACTTATTGTTAGAGATATGAGATAATGCCCTTTAATTCTAGCTCCGTTTGATTAAGTTTTGTTTATCTTCTTTTCATGTAAACATATAGAAACTTCGTTCTCCAATTTATAAGCTCTGATATTTTGTCTATAAAATACGACGGAATAAATAATGCAAGTTTTAGTATTTATAATAATCTATTTGAAAACATTTAAAAATCTTTAAATTTCGTTAGGCACGACCTCATGCACCACTAGTCATCGTATTCTATTCAATGATTTTGCAATATATTATTTTTTATTTATTTTTATCAACATTTTAATGTCTTTTTTTCAGTATTATTAATACAATTTCCAATTGTATCATCTTTCATGTATAGGGATGCGATGCGAGTACCTCTTATAAGAAAGTCGCGCATTTTACCCTACCTTTACCATTTATTTAAACAGATTATTATTATCACTAATTTTGCACTAATAAGATAATTGTTATGCTAACTTATATATTTATTTATTCATTCATAAGCAAGCCATAAACAACAATAATATATGTTATTTAAGCAATGTAAACAATGTTTGAAGTAGAATGTTTTTTTTTAACTATTTGTTTATATAGCGTTCTCCGTGGTCAGTTCGATAAAATCTTTTTTACTGATTTTATCGATTTTATATTTTTTATATGATAAATGTTTATTTTAAAATCTGTAGTTATAGTAATATTTTTTAGATTGACTTCTATTTTCAGAACTAAATATATTGAATTTATTTTTTCTGAAAATTGGGCATTATTTTATTGAATTATTGAAATTTATTTAATATTTATTTAAATTATTGAATTGGAAGAATTTATTCTTATACATAATAATGCTGAAAACTATGTTTAATATTTTTTTTCGAAACTGTTGTTTTATTTAGGTAAAATAAATAATTCTTAGCACAATAAAAGAATAATATTAAAGCTATTTTCATGAAACTTTTTATACGTGGATTTTTCTACTGTACTGTTAGTTTTATTGAATTTGTGTTTTTATTTTTTTTGATTTCTTCAGATAAAACTTCTAATGGAATTTTTACTTCAATTTCTATGTTGTACAAGTTTTTTCGTGAAAGGATTTGCGATAAATCATCTTCCTCTAAGTTTAAAATTTATTATTTGCGAAATTGTTTTTATGAAAATTGGTTCTTACGAATAATATATTTTTTTACGTATATTGTAAGGTTGAATCTAAATGTCTAATGATTTACAAGGCAATGACCTAGCAAAAATCTCGATAATTCCAAAATTAAATCATTATTAACTGTATTGATTGAAAAATTCACTAAACATTGGCAGAGGCATTGTTTAAAGTCGCTTATAAGCATTGAATAAAATTATAATTCGCAATCCAGAGTTTTTGCAATCAGTATTTTTCAAAATTGCAATTTTATATGAATCATCTTTTTATTACCCAATAAAACGCTGTTAAAAGCCTACAATTTTACCCTTTTAATATAATTGTTCTCTGTCCATGTCAAATAGCTCTTCATTGGAATGTTCAAACCTTTAATTATGAATTCATCAAAGACAGCACTTTGCTTAACAGACATTGCTGAAATTGTATTATTTCATTCTTTATTTTATTTACATGTTATCTTTACTTAATGTATTTGATAACACATTGAGAGACTATTAATAATTAAATTAAGTAGGATTACATAATTAAAAATGATTCATATGTCGTACATCATAAAAACAAGGAAATTGAACCGGAATTCTGGCCACAAAGTTTATAATTTTTATTTTATTTTTATAATAATAATAATTTTAAAATTATAATGCTACTAGTAGTCTACATCAGAAACTTATCAATTACTTTGAATTTTTTTTCAAAACCAATTATTTTGTTAAAACAAGCAGAAAGTTTTTTGAATCATTCAAATCGGGAGCATAGTTCTCTCAAAAACTGACATTTTTTGCACATTTAGCTCTATATCTTCAAAATGGCTAGACCTGCTTTTGCCAAAAACTAATCAACTCTTCTCTCAATCATTACAAATTGAATATTGTTTAGATAATTTAAATCGGATACTCCGATCACTCAAAAAACTCAATTTGTATTTTCTGCACTCTTTGCTCCGTATCTCCGCAACGGCTGGACTTGCCTTTGCCAAAAACTAATCAGCACATCTCCCTATCAATAGGAATCAATTGTTTTTCCACGAAAACGTGGACGAAACGATGCAGACATACTAAACACTTTTTACGATTTTTGGCCCATTACTTTAACTACTATACGGGAATTTAAAAAACTAGTTGGTTTGGTATTTAGCCTTAAGGCAAGTTACATGAACTTCCCGATATGTGTAATTAATCGACTTAATCAATAAAAACTAAATTAAATTATGAGTGATTAAAAGTATTCCGAGTGGATTTATTACACATAATTGAAAGCGAACGAACACTTTGACACGGGATATGTTTTAAAAGTCAATTTTCAGAAATCAACAACTATTATTATTGAACCAGTTTCCATAGGACTTTAATAGCTTAATATGTTCATTAAAACCAAGTACTCTATCGTTATACCAAGTAAAATCGTCCAATTTTATTTTTAACAAACGTCAAAAAAACTACTCATTTTCTCAAACTTTGATGAATTTTTAAAATTAAACTACTTGTCGTAAGGCCGTAATATTTTAGTAGTTTCTATAAAACAATGATATACATCGCCAAAAAAAAGTTCCATGAAAATCGACTACAGATAAAGATACATCAAATGGCTTTCAAATTTCTGAAATCGGTTCAGGCGTTTTTGAGAAAACGTCGATGAAAGTTCTAATTTTGACAAATGCCAAAAAAAAGATACCGATTTTTGCAAACTTTGACGAATTTTTAAAGTTAAACCAATTGTCGTAGAGCCGTAATATTTTAGTATGATCTGGAAGACTATGGTACCTAACGTCAAAAAAAAATAATAAAAATCGCCGAAAAATTTTTTTTTAACACTTTATTACAAGAAAACGGCCCGGCCGATCTCTACCAACAACTCATCAGCACGATTCCCAATTAATATCTTTCGAACGGTTTTGGACTTTTCAAGATCGATTCAGAACTGCGGGCTAAAACGTGGACGAAAAATTTTTCACTTTGCTGCTATTTACAAAGAAACGGCTTGGCTGATCATCGCGCAAAATTGATAAACGCTAATCCTCATCGAGATACATGGAATGGCTTTTAAATTTTTGAAATCGGTCCAGCCATTTTTGAGAAAACGTCGATTTACGGCAAAAAATCTGTTCACACACACACACACACACACACACATACACACACATACATACTTTTTCCAAATTTGGTCTCATTCGATTCAGAATGGCTTGCAACGTCGAGAAAACATAAGATTAGCGAATCGGATTTTTTGATGAAAACATAAACTTCTTCGGGAAGTTAATAAAATCAAAATAATGTGCTTTAGTTTATGGTACGTAATAGTTTGCAATAAAAAATGTAAAGCATTTGGGAAAATATTTGTGCAGTGTGAGTAAACTGAATTTCATTTTTAACTTTTAGTTTGTAAGAGTTTTTTTGCCAGACATTCTCAAAAGATAAAGTTTGATTCTTTGTCGAATTTTTTTTTTACAAAATCGGTTAGATTGATTTTAGCAATTTCGAAGTTTGATAAGGACGCAATAGTCGTTTCTATTCATTTAAAATTTTTTTGTTTAAGAAAAGTAAAATTATTCGGAACATATCATATTGGTGGTGGTGCTGATTAGTTTTTGGTAAAGATCGACCGGGCCGATGTTACTTAAATAATTGTTGAAATGTTTAATTATAAAAATTTATTGAAGTAATGAAGGACCGAGTCCATTCAGTCACATTGTTAAATTTGCTGGTTATGACGAATATTTACTCATATCGCAAATTTTTAGCAATATGCGATAAGGCTAAATGCAATTCACTTAGGCTTCTATGATTTATTAAATCATGTAAAAAATCGTAAAATAATTCTATTATATTGTAAAAGTATAATAGGACTCAAACATTGACATTTAAACATTAATTTTTATTTCTTAATTGTTCGTTCAAAGATTATATTTTATCTTATCAGAGAATATAAATATTAATTTTTATTAATAAAGATAAGTTACACGTGTGATCTTACATAAGAACATTTCAATTGTATCTTATCAAAATGATATTAATATTAATATAATTTTGATAAATCATTAATTATATTAAATTTTATCAATAAATTGTTCAGTCTAATAAGCGATAATTATAATATAGTTTTGATAATGCGAAGGTAAATTTTCCATAACATGTTTTTCATCCAGGTTTTTGACCAACTTCAAAATATTTTGTTATGCCGATGAGTTGATAAGATCTATTACCTATTTTGTTATTACTTGTTTTAGCATACTGACAAGACTTATTTGTTAACTTACCGATGGAGAACTTTATGTTCTCGAAAAAAATACGATTTGCTAATTTTATGTTTCCTCGATGTTCCAAGCTAATCTAAATCGAATCAGACAAAATTTAGAAAAGGTATGAATGTATGTTTTTGACCTTTCGTCGAAGTTTTCTCAAAAACGGCTGGGCCGATTTCTAAAATTTAAAACCCATTCGATATAACTCTATAAGGACTAGCGTTTCTTTGTTAATAGCAAAAAAGTGAAAAAACTTTCGTCCACGTTTTAGCCCGCAATTCTAAATCAATTTTAAAAATACAAAAGCTGTTTGAAAGATGGGAATGCTACTGATTAGTTTTTGGTGAAGATGCTCTGGACCGTTTTCTTGTTTAACTGTTGAAAACCATTTTTTCGGCGATTTTTATGAAACTTTTCTTGGGCGGTAGACATCGTGGTCCTATAGAACATGCTGCAATATTACGGCTTTACGACAAGTAGTTTAATTTTAAAAATTTATCGAAGTGTGAAAAAATGACCAGGTTTTTTGACATTTAATATAATTAAACGTTTCATCGACGTTTTCTCAAGAACTACTGAATCGATTTCAAAAATTTATAACCCATTCGATATAACTCGATAAGAACTATTGTTTCTTAGTTTAGTACGACGATCTGCCAAGCCATTTCTTTGTAATTAAAAGTAAAAAATTTTACGTCCACGTTTTAGCCAAAAACTGAATCGATTTAAAAAATTCAAAAACTATTCGAAAGGTATTATCTGGATTCGTTTTGGACAAGAATCGGGCGAACCGTTTCTTAATAATTAGCTGTTGAACATAATTTTTTCGATGTAACAACTTATGTTGATAGATATCATGGTACTAAAGAACATATCGAAGTTTGAAAGAATATGATAGTCAAAATTTGTGCCAAAAGTCGCTTTTGTAATATGATAAGTCAAAATTTGAATTTCACAAATTTAAAAGCCATTGTAATAAATTCGATAAAATGCTGCCTTTAGTTTAAATCATTTAATAATAGCAAGAACTACTTGACATGATATATGTAATCGTGCAGTTTAAAATTTTATCTAAGTATCTAAATCTCAATTTTGGTAGATTAAGTCAATTATTACACTTTTCGGAAAATTCATGCAAATTGCGTTAAGGCAAAATGCCACATCAACTAGTTTTATTCATTTTGCTTGAAAATATAGATATGAAAATGTTTCCAAGTGAAAATAGCCCTTATTCGCATTGCTGCACCAATTCATCAGTATTAGAGAAATTGTAATAATAAATTCATCACATAGAGTTAGGACAAATGTTATGGTTGTCATCTATAAAGAAGCACATCTGCATGTTTTTTGCAATATTGATCTATAAATTCCTATCATTATTTTTATGCAAAAGCACAATTTGACTTTACTTTTCTCCAACAATGATTGAACTCGTAAACATAGTAATTAAACATTTCCAAAATTTTTAATTTTTGTTATTTAAAAGTATTTTTTTTATTAAAATAATCATATGAATTCTTAGATCACATTTGCAGCATGCATGATATATGTAGAAAGAAAGAACTTAGTTCTGAACTTTTTTCTGTTGTTGTTGAATAAGGTATTTATAAAATCAAATAACGTTACAGTCTTACAGTAGTACTGATAATTACATTATTCAAGAAAAAAATTCATACAATTAGTCACTTATGAACTTAACTTGTTTTGTCTTCAATAACTTCTTTGATATATGATTCATTATAACATTCAATTACAAAGTAATATAATAGCGTGATGCTATTTTATGCGATTACAGAAGTAAATTGTTACATAATCTGTACATATATGATTATCTCTTGATCTTTTTGACTGAATACAAGTTTTTTTATTTTTATAAGAGTCATTGAATATAATTGGTACGTAGGTATACATAAGATTAAAACAAAAGAATTGTTTTATTTTTTATTAGTGATATTATTATTTTATTAATTTAATTTTGTGGTAATTATTTGAAGGATTAATTCTCTGATTATTTTAATCATTCATAGTATTTTTGTATTTATATTTATAATATTTAGTTCAACAGTTTTTTCTTTTAAACCAGTAATTCTCAAGCTTATTTGACCTACAACCACTTTTACAAAAAAAAAATAATAATAAAATTAATCAATTAGTACGGATTATGAGTAATATATTTATGCAATTCGCAGATACAACATGGTGTACTTGCAAATATTCCCATATTAACCTGTACGTATCATTGCTCCCTGGTTTCCAGGAGTTTTTCCTGTTGAACCAGTCATTCCCAAACTTATTTGTGTACCGTCATGTTACCGCCTCCTTTAAAAAAAAAACAATAGCAATTAGTAACGATTATAAATAATACAATAATTATGCAATTCGCAGATATAATGTATTGTATTTGCGAAATTTCCCAAATTCTCCTGTGCTTATCACTGCCCCTGGTTTCCAGGAGCGCCCCCAAGTGGGCGGTAGCGCTCTTTTTGCCAATCGACTAATAGAATTCTAATTTCTCAAAATCATCTAATGATTTTAACAAATGCGCTATATTACGCCATTCACCGTTTTGCTTTATTTAATAAAAATATTACTGAAGCAAAGATTTTTTTAAAATAAATCTAAATTTTCACTTGCTTAGTACATGATAAAGTAGTTGTCAGTAGTTAACACGTTGAGCCCGGCGCCAAATTTCGAACGATCGGCAACGTTTAACACGTACCACATTTTCGTTTTGAATGTTTGAATAAATTTCATTAAAATTATATTTGACAGCATTTCATTAAGATTAATCATATTTTTTACGACCATCGAAACAAAAGTAATAGATCCGGTCCTCGGGCCCGAAGCCGGTTATATGGTAAGACGACGCCGGCCAAATGGATGGTTGACTGTCGGTCCCTAATGACGGACACCGAACTCAACGTGTTAAACAATTAAAATAAGCCGTACTTTAATTTTTTTGGCCGAATCTAGTTTTTCAATCGAAATGTGTGATTTTGAAATTCACCAATTTTATGAAATTTATGATTATTATTTATGATATTTATGAAATTATTAGTACTCCTCAATGACATTTTTAATTGGACTTGTCTTTTTTAATTCAAGTTGTGAAGAGCTACTTTTTACTATTCTATTTTCAGTGAATCAAACGAGAAACAAATTATGTTGGATCAGACACCTGTTTGTGTGATACTGAAATCGGAGAACAATAATGGATTTGGTTCAGCAGTGGCCAAAATTCAGCGGGACGGCAGCAACGACTCGGCCCTTCTTCAGCCGAACGACATGCACGAAATGCCCACGCAAAAAGGATTTTCCTCGAAGATGGGGGTATTGCATCAGGTAAATTATAATGTTTAGAATATTATACATAAACAGCTATACTTAACCAGTTCGGTACGAGCAACACATATACATGACTGCCGCAGAATACAGAGTCGGGCGTCAGGTTAAGTGGACGGATGTAATAAGAACGCTCAGCGTACGGACGTTGCATGCCGGCTGTGAGCGACATTTCGCTACCAATAGGCACCGTACCAAAGTCGTTAATATCCCGAAGCAAAATTTTGTTTTTTTCATGGAAATTCAATTTGCTAATTTTGTCTTTTTTAATGTTTTAAGTGATTCTGAATCGTTTGACACCAAAAAAATTATGTGTTTATGAGCTTGAATTTGAAATATGTGTTCGTTATGACCAAAAATCTTGAATAGAATAATTCAGAAAATTTAAAAACAATTAGAAAGATATTTGGTAATCGTGCGGATTAGTTTTTGGTAAATATGGACTGTTGGAATGATCACTTCACATGTTTTTCTTTGTAATTATTTATTAAAAAAAATTGTTGATGATTTTGATGAAAATTGCATATCGTAACATTCTAAATAATTCGCACCTAACTCAGTGGTTTAATTATAGAGAGTTTACTAAGTTTGAAATAATGTGCCGTGTCAATATTTACAAATTATAACATTTTTATTTTAGAAGATAATAAATTTCAATTATTAGGGAATAAATCTTTTATACAAACATCGTTAAGTTTTTAACTTCCCGTAGGGCAAGTTATAGTAATCGCAAAAAAATCAAAAATGAAATTTTTTATATATCTTTACGTTTCAAAGGTTTCTGAACATTTTGGCATACCTTAAAAAAATGGATGTATGTGTGTGTGTATGTGTGTGTATGTATGTGCGGATACAAATTTTCGTCGACGATTTCGGGAACACGGATCAACCGATTTGAATAATTCAAAAAACATTCGATTCGTATTGATAAGGAGACGTGCTGATTAGTTTTTGGCGAAGGCTGGTCTAGCCGTTGCGAAGATACGGGCAAAAAGTTCCGAAAACGGTAACTCAGTTTTTAAGAGAACGGAGCGTCCGATTTGAATAATTCAAAAAACATTTCACTTGTATTGACGAGATGAAGAATCGATAAAATTTTCATGAAGGTAGGTCTAGCGGTTTCGGAGATATGGAGGAAAAAATAAAAAAAATGAGCCATTTGGCGGTCAAAAGTGATCATCAGACATATGCACATCAAATTATCAGATATTTTATAGAGATTTTAACAATAAGTATACATTTTGTTAACATTCCAATGGGTTCCGTACCAATGCTTATGCGTTAGACAGCGACGCGGCGCTTACGCGCTTTATATTTTGTCCCTATGCAGTTAAAGCAGTACGATTGCTTTGAAAAGAAAGTTCAGATCTTCCACAATATGTTAAAATAAAGAAAAAAAATTTTTTTTCAAAAAAAAAATTAAAAAAAAAACTTAAAAAAAAAAATTTTTTGTCCAATTTATAGTTTCTCAAAAATCTTATTTTTTCAAAGTAAATTTTTTTCAAAAATGTTAATCTTTTTTAAAAAAAATAATAATTTTTGGTACGGGAAGTTCCAGCAATTTGCCTTAAGGCATGATGCCTTAATTGCCTTTAGACAGAATTCCACTTACAGCTAGTTCAACTTGCCTTTAGACGAAGTGCAACTTAAGCATATTTTCAAGCAAATTTGATATGGGAAAATAACATGCTTTGCTTATAGATCTTAGAATATATATTAGGTTGTCAAATATCTCCCTTCCGCCTTTTTGTATTATAAACCAATAGCAAAAAAGCGGAAGGGAGATATTTGACAACCTAATAGATATAATAGTACATTAGTACTATTTCTCTACATATGACTAAAATCTATTAGAGAAATAGATATTAGTCATAAGTTATGATTCTACTACTAATATACTAGTACTAGTAGTATTACTAGATAAATGATATAATTCTATATTATGACTCATATTTATCGTTTTATTACTTTTTTATCTATATACTTACTTCATAAAATTTTATCTTTTTACATACAAATCAAATTGTACATATTTTCTCTGTGCACTAAATCTTTAATGTACAATTGTGCAAATATTTCGTTTTTCTCTGATATCTGTTTACACGTGCTTGCAACAATTGCTCCGAAATATGTACATCATTTCCAAAGGTGTGATGTCATTCTATTATTGGAAACTCATAGAACGTGCTGTCTGTAATGAATATTTAAATTAAATTTATTCATTTCAAGTTTCTTGTTAAAGAAGATTATGCAGAAACAATAATACAATTGTTACATGAATATATTTAAACTTAAAATATTAAATATGATTAAGTACTTATACAATACAAAAAAATTAACATAAAGGTGCAAAATTTTGTTCTCAAGTTTTTTTTTAATAGTATTTCTTCAAAATGGTAGAATAGTTTGAATTATAGTTCAAAACATTTATGTATATGCAAAAAAATTTCTTACTTCAACTAAAAATAATTGTCTTAAAATTCTTCACGGTATTTAACGAAATAGTAATAAAAGGATGTACATAGTTGCCATTTTTGTTCGTGCATATTTATACACTTTTATTATTATATTGATAAAGATATTAAGATTGTAATATTCATTATATATAGTAAACCACGTGAAAACGAATTTTCTGAGACCAAATACGCGTTTTTATACATCTTTACTTTTCAGAGGTTTCTGAACATTTTGGCATACCTTAGAAAAAATGGATTTATGTATGTGTGTGTGTGCGTTGTGTTTTCGGATACAAATTTTCGTTGACGATTTCGGGAACACGGCTCAACCGATTTGAATGATTCAAAAAACATTCGATTCCTATTGATAAGAAGACGTGTTGATTAGTTTTTGAACAAGGCTGGTTCAGCCATTTCGTAGATACGGAGTAAAAAATTTCAAAAATGTAATTAAGTTTTTGAGAGAACGGAGCTTCCAATTTTAGTAATTCAAAAGATCTTTTATTTGTATTGACAAAATGAAGGACTGATTTAATTTTTGGCAAGGCAGGTATAGCAGTTTCGGAGATCGAGTGAAAAAAGTAAAAAAAATGCCATATGGCAAAAATGATTAATAGACATATGCTCATCAAATTATACCTATTATAATTCATAGAGATTTTAATAATAAGTATAAATTTTGTTAACATTTTTTTGAGTTGCCTAACATTATTTATCCGTTAGACTGCGACGCGGCGCTTACGCGCTTCGATATTTCAAATATTAAAAATTTCAAAATATAAAAAAAATCTTTTTTTCTTCAAAATATTTTTTTTTCAAAGTTTAAAAAAATGAATCTTTTTTAACAAATTTAATTTTTAGTACGGGAAGGTCCAGCAAATTGCCTTAACGCATGATGCCATACACCACTAGTTAAATATAAAATCATGGCCATGACCATATGACCATGACCATGATCTATATAAAACAAGTACCTTACGAATTTGAAATGTCCAAAAGCTTCAATAACTAAATGAATATAAATATAGAGAAATAACAAGAATTTGACATTGGAAACGTTAGGTATTAAATTTAATTCACAAAAGTATGTGCATTTAATGTTTTGCAGTTGTATTACTTATATAATACTAAACTGTTTATTAGAACAATGAGACCATTAAATAATGAAATTTCTTAATAAAAACCGATCGGAACTAATGTGCAATTATTCCATAAATACATACCATTAGTAATAAATATTAATTCTTGTTATTAAGTCATTTTCTTGAAAATTGTTGATTAATTAATTAAATATCTCTGATTATTATGATACGATTTTCTCTTTTAAAATTAGTAAGTCAGATGTTTGTTTGATAGGAGTTATTGACTCGCCAAGACTTATTTGTTGTTGGGCCATCTGCCAAGTACTTGCTAAAGAAAATTACTGACGTAAAAACGTTTATTTTAGATTGTTTTATAATGGTAATAGTCATAATAGTTATTTCTATTATATACAAACATTCTTAGAGCAATGTCATCAATAATTAGAATATAAAATTTTTTATAATTCTTAAGTTACAGCTGTCGGTAATAAGTTTAGTACCACACCTAACATTAATATAAAACTTTTATAAATCGACTCTTTATTATAATATATTATTGTAATTAATATAAAATTTTATATTAATGTTATATTTGATAATATGTTATATTTGATAAATAATAATAATATTTTTCATACATTCTATTATCCGGATTTTCGATTATCCGAATGCCCATCGACAACAATTAGTTTGGTTAATCGAGAGTTTCTACTGTATATATAAATTTGGTCTACAAATTGGTGGAATAAATTATTTTATAACCTAATATCGTTAAATTATGAAGAAAGTGTACCCGGTGTATACTTGTTATTTAATTATGTTATTCGGCAATTGTTGCCTAACATAACAGATTATAAATTACATATCCTGTTTTTTTTTAAATACTAGAGATAGCATAATTTATGAATCAATTATTTTTTCTTATTTCTTATAAGTTATTTTATAAACCAGTTTTGCTGAGTGGATCATCAGTATTTATACCCATCTAAATCGAATTGTTTTTTAATATCTATAGTAACTATAGCATAACATTTTATATATTTTTATAATTTTATATTTTTAAATGTGGAGTTAGAACTATCTGCTCGAAATTTGAAGAATATGGCCGATATTTGTAAAAAAAAATATTGAATTTGAAAAAATTTAATTATATAAGATATATATAAAAATGAATCGCAAAATGTGTTGGTAAGCGCGTAACTCAACAACGTCTGGGCCAATTTGGCCAATTCTTTTTTTAAAATGTTAGTTGAAGGCCAAGGATGGTTCTTACCTTAGAAAATATCGAATAATTGCCGGGAAAACCATAAAAATAGCCCTTTCCTTTTTCACATACAAACGTTTTCTAACTAAAACTTAGAATCAATTCTGTAATGGTTTATGAAAAGATAATCCTCCTAATTATTCGAATTTTGATAAATTTTCTGAAGTTTGTTATGGGATTTTTTTAGGATTTTTTGAA